AAAAAGTAAATCAGAGACATATTTATAGTAATTATGCAGGCAAATTTGCCTGCAAATCTCTACCAATTAAGGGATACATGTTTTCCTATACAATAATTTGATATTTTATCTATCAGTTATAGCAAATATTTTCTATATAATAATTATATAGGATCCAATATAACTGATACATAAGACATATTTGATAGATATAACAAAAATAAAATAAATACTATAAAAATTAGTTCTTTGGGAACTAGAAGAACTACGAAAACTATGAGTTCTCTTGGCAAAAATGATTTACGGCCTACAGATCCTGTGATAACTCTTTCGCCATGTGACCTACATAAATGGTAGGTCTAATACTCTCCCCTTCTTAATTATGAGCTTTACGAATAACATATTCCCACTTGAAATATTCATTTGCCAATGATAAGAGCGAAGTCACTGGCACTTAATTGATCTAATTTTCGTAGGTTGAGAGAGGTAGTCCTATATATACTATCAACCTCATATGTGGTAAAGAGATCATAGACTCACATAGATACCTTTTTATAGTATTCTGAAATACTTTAAATGGCCTTTTGCCTTTCAATTTTCGAAGGGGCTTCTTGTTTCAATAATTCTCCCAAATAATATGCATAAATCAAGGTCTTGAGCCTTCGATATTTGTAGCAGGTTGCCTGGAGAAGCTTTTAGTGAACTTTCCAGACCTTTTCTTGGAATTCATCATTGAATGCATAAGGCGCAGGATCAATAACGACGTCAGTAGGAATAGTGGCGCTTAATTCAAACAGAATAATCTGTATTAGAGTGGCCATAATTGAAGTTGAAAGAGAATTCAAGCAATTCTCCTCCTTTTATTCTAGTTTGTGTTTTGACGTGGATAATATTGTTTTAATAGTACGGTATTGATCGGTGTACTAACGATCATCCCATTCACTGTGTGTAATCGATACACATCTGGTGCGACTCTTTGATGTATTATATAGGGTTCTTTTCATTTGGGCAATAATTTTCCGGATAAACTTTTACTCACAGTTACATCGTATAAAAGCACTTGATCATTTTCGGCAAATAATCGTTTGACCCTTTTATGCTTTTTATTCCAGTAAAATTTTTGTCTATTTTGGGACTTTATAATTTTACTCTTTGCCTTTTCACGAATATGGAGTAATTCTTCTATGATTGTATACAATCGGGTTAGAAGATTCTCTTCTAGTACCTCTTGTTGAAAGATTGATAACTAGGCTTTTCTTCCATAAGTCAACAAAAATGACGTAAATTTAGTAGTTGCTTGTTTGGCCATTCGATAAGCAAACAACACCAGAGATATTAATAAATTCCACTGTTCTTTTTGATCCAACTTCGCTAACGATTTACACAAAGTTTGGTTGAATTGTTTAACCAGCCCGTTAGTTTGGGGTAATACGGAGTAGATAGTTGATGCTCTATTCTGAATTTTTGCATTATTCCATTCACTAACACATTATTAAAATGTTTTTCTCTATCCGTTAGGATATACATGATAACAGATAATTTCTTTGTAGATAAAATCTACAGCATTACTTGAGTCTGCAGCTGGTATAGCACAAGCTTCGGGCCATTTTGTTAAATAATCTGTAGCCACAATTATGTATTTATTACCTTTTGTGGTAATAGGTAAAGGTCCCACATAATCTATCCCAATCTGGTAGAAAAAAGATTCTATGAGAATTGGTTGTAAGGGTCCAGATATGTGATGCTTTCCTTGTTTTTGAAAATTATTACATGTTTTAATGTAGCTGCATACATGGTCATACATCTGTGGCCAGTAATACTGAGCCTTAATTTTCTCTACTACCTTCTTAGTTCCCAGGTGAGCTCCAGTTGGGTGGTTATACAACAAATATAGAATTGGCTCTATCTCGTATATTTGAATTACACAAACCAATTGGTTGTTCTTTAATTTTCTTTTATATAGCTGTTCATTTTTTAGAATAAAATTTTTACTTTGAAACACAATTCTTCTTTGAGTTCTTGGTGTAATATCAGGCAGAAATCGAGTAGTTTCCAGGTATAGTTTAAGTTGATTATATTTAATAGGTTCCATTTTTTTTTTTTATATATGAATCTAAGGTTGATAATATTTGTTAAGTTAATTGGGCGTACAGTAGCAGTAATCGACTTGCAAAGTTTTTCATCACTTGAGGATGAGAAGAAGAAAAAAAAAAATGATGGAGTCCTTAGCACACAAGGTTTGGTATCCACCAAGCCGAATTACTAAGATATTTTGTAAAGAAATTACTAAATTCCTTAGTATATAATGCTAATGGGGTTTCCAGTACAGGTAACTACCAAGGTTGGGTAATTAGCCCTAAGCTATTCGTCCCTAGGTGATAGTTTTGGTTATTATCTCAAAATTCAAAAATGTCAACCTTATTATCGGCCTTGTAATCAAGTAAAAGATACATTTTGTATTTGAGACAGACATCAGCTGGGTCTATTTCAGTATCGTTAATAAGGCTTGCATTATTTGAAAAGTGAGTATTAAATGCTTCACTTTCATCTTTTTTATCAGGAGTGTGCCAATAACTCTTAGCAACCTCCTTTATAATATAGCTCTTAATAGTTATCCATAACTTAAGATCAAGATAACAATTTATACATTTGTCGCTTGGTGAGTATAAATAGTTTCCACACCAACATTGGGCAGTGAGCTCTTTATAATCTCTAAAGTATTCTTTTCCTTTATCTTTCTTATTCAATCCCTTGGCTATATGTTCTATATAATATCAAATACTTTTCATTCTCTCATATATTATTCTATTAGAGGTGAATTCTACCTTCTCATAAAGCTTTAGATAATGTTGGATATCTGGCGGCGGAGAATACCTTAATGTATTCTTTACCTTTTGCAGCATGTTGCTATGGGCAAATATTGGCTCTATATATTCATCTACTTCTATTATAAATAATTCTATCATATTATCATCAATATCGAGATCTATCAGATCTTCTTTAAAATCACTTTGCAATGTTTTTTCTTTATCAAGGAAGTTTTCTTCATATATTCTTGACAAGGTATCTGCATTGCGGTGAACTCTTCCAGGGTGATGTATGATGATAAAATAGTAGGGTTCTAGCCTTAAGATCTAGCGGGCTCTTTTTCCCTTTAATTTTGAAGTCTGTAACTACTTCAGCGCAGAGTGGTTAGTAATTAAGTAAAAATGTTTACTTCCCAAATACTGATGGAAGTATTCAACGGCCCATACAGCGGCAAGACATTCTAACTCTGTAGCAGAGTAATTTTGTTCTGCTTTATTCAGACTTCTGCTAGCATAAGCAATGACATATTCTCGCTTTTGATCATCTATCTGAGCTAGTACAGTACCCAAACCTGAATTCGACGCATCAGTATGTATATAGAAGGGTTGTTCAAAATTGGGCTGTTGTAAGATTGGGGCAGAAATTAAATAATTTTTTAGGGCCTCAAATGCACATTGTTGCTCTTCGCCCCAAACATAGAGTTTGTCTTTCTTTAATAAAAGATTCAAAGGTTTGGCAATTTTTGAAAATCCTTTGATAAACTTTCTATAATATGAGGCCAATCCAAGAAAGCCTCTAATTTGCCTTAGAGTAGTAGGAACAGGGTAGTTTTTAATTTTCCTCATCAGGACGTAACCCATCTCTTCCTACTATATGTCCTAAAAATTTAAAGTTAGCAAGGAAGAAAAAATATTTTTCCAAATTAAGCTTCAAGTTGGCAGCACGAAGCTTATCAAATACCAATTGAAGATATTGTAAATGCTCTTCAAACATGTCCGAGTATATTGTAATATCATCTAAATATACTACGACGAACTTATTTTTTTTTTATTTTTATTTTTTTTATATATTGCCAAACATAGAAACTTTATTAGTTATGATTCACACCTTTTTACAAAGCAATTGATATACAGTTTCTAATTACATTTGTGCTACTATTACTAGTCACTCAATGTGGCATTATACTCCTTATTTTCCTATAT